ACAAAGACTGATGGTCTGGCCGGAGCAGATGGCAGGTATTTGTGGACCTGTGAGGAACGGTGGTACAGGATGTCTCAAGCAGGAAGTGTGGGAATTCTACTGCAAAAGAGACTTCATTAACAATAATAGGCAGTAAATTGTAATGACATAGCTGTCAAACAGAGGCATTGTTTTAATTACTTTAAACTGATTTAAGGTTATTATTTTGATCTTGTTTATAATATAGTTTAGAGCAAGCATTAAGAGTTTGCTGCATTGCCATTTAGTGCCACTACTGAACTTGCAGCATCACAAAAAATAAAATAAAATAAAAAAGGGCTTTCCGATTTCCAAATGAATCATATGACTGGGGCTTTTTATGTAACAAGCAAAACCTGAAACTAAACTAAATAAAAAAAATAAAAATAAAAAGTTGTCATTACAATAGTCTGTGCCCTTATGAAATAACTGGACATCCAGGGTAAGGCCAAACTAGACAGAATAAGGTCTGAGCTATAAATAATATCTTAGTCAGTAGCACTGAAAATTGCACAAGCCCCAAGACAGCCCTGCTAGCGACTTTGGTAACACTGAACAAACCTTAGGCCAATTTTAGACAATAACTCATAGTTCATTCATAATTTAGCAAGGCTGGTGTCAGTATGAAAAAGTAAAAGTGACATAACTTAAATCTGATGATCAACTAGCAACTAGTACTGCGGTGTAGCAATTCATTTTTAAAAAGTACAAAAAGATTCCAAATATTTACTATCTCTTACAGAAAAATAAATATATAGACCCTCATTCAGAAGTGCATGGCAGTGCATTTGTGTCTCGCTGGAAATCTTCGTTAGAGGTTATAACATTTATGTGGGGAAATATTCTTGCATGACAGGTTAAGGACAGCGTCCATGTCAGGAGCCAGCAGGGGCAGGCCAGTGAGTCGTGACCCGGTGCCATGAAAGGAACGCCAACTGTGTGACATCAAACAGACAAACTGGCCAAAGAAAACAATGCTATGTGCTTTGCCAGCAGGTCTAGGGACCAAATTATGAGTGTACACATCTCTGCACTTGCTATGAAGTAATGCATCCATGCGTCACAAAGTAAAAATAAAAAAGTTATATTTTTTAAAGCGGCATTCATACATTTTCAATCGAAAATTGAAAAGTCACAAAATGTTTCTGAAATACAAATTTAACAGATGCATTATTGCACATTTAGAGTATGGTCATTCTAGACTGATTTAACTAGCTTCAATCAGCTTTCACATCTACACAGCATCTTTGCCTTTCCATATTTTGTTATGTTCATCTTACATCATTCTCTCTATGCAGTCAGCGCCGCATGGAGCGCAGGGTGATGGATACGGCAGGTTTGTGTGTTGATAAGAAATGACTGTCAGGTTGTCCTGCAGCTTTCTATGCAGCAACCGCTGGGATTCTCGCACCTTTCAGTCCTAGCTGGCTGACCTAACCTGATAACTCTAAAATAAGCTTCATATGACTCATGATGGTGCTAAAGCAAACAATATGAGTCACAGTTATGACTGATTAAACATTGCCAAGTTTATAGATCAGAAGAACAGAAACAACACGTGGGAACTAAAACAGTTAGTCATGACAGACTTACTATGTGAAGTGTAACCTTAATAACTTGATTACTAACAGGAAGTATTCTTGAATTAAAGTCAACATAAAATCTCTGATGTACTATTGATCTTCTAAAGGTAACAATATTACCTTTAGAAGATATTGATCAAATTATAAGGTATTGATCTTACTGCAAAGGTTTGTGTTCGTTATCTTCATCAAAATAAAAATTTTGTTTTTTAGCTAACATCCCAAATCCCTCTTACACTCTTAATAATTAATGTTCCAAACAAAGGTTTTCGCAACAATGCCATATAAAAGAACTGTTTTGGTTGCTCAACAAACTTTTCAGTGAACAGTTCTTAAAGGATTAGTTCACTTCCACAATAAAAATTTCCTGATAATTTACTCAACCAAATGTAATCCAAGATGTTCATGTCTTTCTGTCTTCAGTCGCAAAGAAATTAAGGTTTTTGAGGAAAACATTACAGGATTTTTCTCCATATAATGGACTTCAATGGTGCTCAATGGGCTGAAGGTCCAAATTGCCGTTTCAATGGAGCTTCAAAGGGCTCTACACGATCCCAGCCGAGGAACAGGGGTCTTATCGCAAAATGATTGGTCATTTTCTTAAAAAAAAAAAAAATGTATATACTTTTTAACCACAAATCAATCACAAAAAAACAGGTTGAGGGAAGCTACATGGCAGACTTAAGGAAAGGTAAACTGACTGTAATTAGACAGCCACAATGACACCACTGCAGTATGAAAATACTTAAGAAGTATTGATGTTTCGGAAATATTTGTCCGAAACAGCAGTTTTGACCATAATAGTTTTGGAGGGCCAAAAGCAAGGACTAAAATGGTTCTTAGTGCTTCTTCAATAACATTTTTTTAACTGTGTCAGTGTATTTTATTCACACAGCATAGATCAGCTACAAAAGGTAAACATGCCAACAGTGTACGCACCTCATTGTAAACAAAAATTAAGCTAGAATAGCAATATGTAAAATTTGTTTAATTAAATAGAGGCAACTCTTTACTACAACTGCTCTGTCACCTTTGAACATGAACTCATTACATTGTTCAGATAGACAGTTACCAAATTTAGACAGACAGACAGTTACCCAAATTTCTCTAAATTCAAACTTTAAAAAAAAAAATTATAATAATCATTTCAGTGCAGGTAGTGCTGGGAGATATAGCCAAAAATGACAATATTTTCTACATTTTAGTTAAAAATATAAATAATAATTCCAATTATAATTCCACATTTTGACAATATTCGATATATAACAAATATTTTGCTTTTGGACCACTGACTCACTAAACACTTTTGATTGGCCTGTTCGCCTGTCAGCTGTCATAATCATAAAACGAAAAGAGGAGTGAAGCTGCCTTTCTGTCTTCATAAGTGAAACTTCTTATTGCGATAAACACAACATTCCCTTATTTTTTTATTGTCAGCTAAGATCTCACAATATTGTGTATCGCCAAATCTGCAGGGAATGCATATTGTTAGACATATTGTTACCTTTAGAAGCACAAAAACATAACAGTCAACATTGCTCCAGCATAAAGTTTGTGCTAAAAGAAGTCTCCCTCCTCCAGTCACGGAAAAAAGTCATGGCTGTTAATCTGAGGGGTGTTTTCATGTTACTACAACTCCATTTGGCTGCAGCGCAAAGCTAATGAGATGCTCAGCACGGGCGGATTCTGTGCATCACGCTGCTATTAACAGTCTTAGTCATCAACAGAGCGAGGGGCTGAACGTTCCTGCTAAATGAGCACTGCTGCTCTGACAAACCATGTCATCATAGCGACGTACCTCTCTCTCTCTCACACACGCTCTCTCCCTCTACATAAATAATAGGCATTTCTGTCTGCAAACAGCCCTGGAGGACTCAGCCCTTGGGGTGATGCCAAATCCCTATGGTATGCTTTCCTGTGATGATGATGCTCACGAGACGAAAAGGAAACAGACCATCCAGCTTAGTTTGTTGGAAAGTAAGAGGAAAGTTTTTAAGTAGTTCTGCTCAACAGTGACCTTATCATAAGGTGCAGCAGATTTGATTAGTGAGTTTCAATGACATTCACAATTACTGAATAAACTAATTAATAAACAAATATAAAAATATTAAATTTAAAAAAAATCAGTTGATGGAATATTTTCAAAAAATGTAAAATAACTAGAAAAATTGATATTTACTTTAGAAGTATCTTTATAATGAGCAAGAGACATTTGAGTGGCTGGGGGAAAGGGACAGTGTCTAAATGTGCCTAACAATATGGAATATTTTCAATATTGTTAAACATGTTTCTGCAACTACTTAGTCAAGTGAATTGGTATAAAAACTCAGGCATCTTCATCTAAATATAGCATGCCTGCATGCCAAGAGAAAGGAATTTATCTCATATTTCTATGTTCTCCTTTCAGGGTTAGGATTATATTAACTTTCATGACTTTTCCAGGCTTGAAAATCACAAATTTTAAATTGCCTGACACTTCTAGGTTTCGACTGCATTGCATTACTGACACGTCCACAAATGAAAATACTCAAAACAGAATGAAAAACAGAAAATAGCTGGGTTATGTAATGTTGAGCACAATACGTGCATTAATCACATAAAAACTGAATACACAAAAAAAACACGTTTTCAATTTCTGAATTAAAGTCCTATTTTTATTTTTGTGGGACTAGGCGGTGGAGATTGAAGAAAGAGAAAAAGTCTCATTAAAAGCTGAAATTCTTGGAAAAATAAGAAATGTTGGATTTTAATTTAAAGTAATTTGCAATCATTTGCATTATTTGTCCTCAAACAAAGCAGCAATGTTTTATTAAAAAAAAAATAATAATAATTATAATGTCTTGAGGCATAACCAACATTTAAGAAGCCATTTTGCTGCAATGTGACAAGAAAAGCATAAAAAGAAAGGACCAATTTTGACACTTTTTGCATTACAAATTTTAGAAGAAAAAAATATTTTGACCTTTTTATGAAAAGGTGTTTGTGTGTGGGGGGGGTCATATGGAACCAAGACAACATCTTGATATTTGTGAATAAAAAATAATGAAATACGTTTATATAAGTTTTGCCACTTGACAAGTCAATAAATCAAAATATCTGTTTTTTGTAATTTTTTTAAATAATGTATGAAACAACTTGACTAGATTTGTAAACATTTCTCCTTACTTGTAAATTCAACCTTTTTTTTTTGTCATTAACCCAACAAGTGACAAGCTTCTACCAAACCTGTTGTTTGCCAAATTAAGATTCATCTGATTCTTTAACACAAAATGTTCAATCTGTGAATCAACCCATCAGCTTGATGCTCAAGTGATCTGTTCAATGATTAAATGCTCTCACTGCACCACTGCCTTAAGCAGCCATTCAACTAACGTTACTCCTGCACTTTATGATCCTTACCTTTGACTTGAGTCTCGTATTCTGTAATGATCTCTTTATCCTTTTTGAACTTCACAGGAGGATTCGACATTTTCAATAGCTGTTCGAAATATCAGCAGTTCAGTTACGAGAATGTTTGTAAACTGGTTTATTCGGGGGCTTTTCCTATTTCCAGGTCGCCCTACTGTGGACAGTGCATCCCAGAGATGTTTCCAAGTTGCTCAGGCTGGAAATCCCAAAAGCCAAACACCGCAAATAATCATCGTCCGAGTTCCCAACGATTCCGAATGTGATTCCGCCGTCAACGCGATCAAAACAGAGCGCGCGCTAGAAGAGTTTCCTCCCAAACAAGTAACCCTTTCCTTGGGCAAATGTCCACGGCTTGTTCCAGCCCTTCAAGCTGTCTGTTAGTCACCCGCCGACGGATTTGGACAGACTGAGCAGCATAATGACATGTTCCACAGGGCCAGCGTGATTTTCAGCACCCGTTCCTCGCGTCCGTGTGTCTGGTCGCCGGATAGCTTCACGGATTCTGACTGGCCTCAAAGCAGCTGGAAAAGCAAGCGGTTGGAAATGGGAGGGATTGGAGGTGGAGGGGGTGCACGTAGCGGAAATTTGGAGACGGGATTAAACTCATTTTCTAACCAGTTGGTCCCCGAAAGTAATTTTGTGTTGTAGTTACAGCGTACGCGATTAAAAGCATTGCATTTCGAAGCTTATAAACAAGGCAAAACAGTTTGAAAAACGGATTATGAAATGTGTTTTTAAGATTGATGTATGCAAACGCTGTAAATCGTTACATTATGAATCCTTTAAATATGAATATGATTTCTAATCATTACTTTTAAAGTAAGCCTTTTGAATATTTTTACATGTTTTCAACAACTCGTTTTAGGAACGCGTCGTGTGTGACGCCTAGTGGCCAGTGTGTAGAATTGCACGAGTAACGCAATATTGTAATGCATTACTTTTAAAAGTAACTTTCCCCAACACTGTATATATATATATATAAAACCAGTTGTAGCAGTTTCACACAGAGTTAAATGTAATCCAATTTGGACTTTTTAATGACTTTTCACAGTTTTAGAGGGGGCAAAATGTAATCCTTTTAAACTTGTTCTACATATTAAATAAAAATGTTAAGCAAAAAAACGGTAGCATAATGTAACAAAAATGTTTCTATTTTTTAAAATACTAACAAAGCCTATAATATTGTATACATCATTTCTGAAGATGGATATTGTTGATAAACTGACAGTCAGATGTCACACAGCGCCTCTTACAGGACAGCTGCTTTGTTGCAATACTACTCGAATCGCCTTTGAATTTATCCTATTTCAAAAACTTTTAGGACATATCATTCCCTTATAACAATTTTAAAGAGGTTAATGGCATCAATTCTTAATAAAGATCGCATTTAAAACTCTTGGAAATGAATTCATCTTTTATTTTTGCTACTTTTATAAATGCGTTTCATGTAGGCCTATAGATTTTGTTTTATTCCTGTCCCAGACCTGGACTTTCAGTCTATAAAAATCCATTATTAAAAGACAAATTACATTATTGACAGAATTACGTTTAAAACTGATAATCTAAACAAAATGTGGCATAATTATAAGTCTTTTCCATATTTATTGTTTTATTGTCATTTTTTGTATTGTGTTATTGTAAAAAGATTGAATGAAATAAAATGCTGATACAATTTTCACACATTTATCTGCTACAAAAATCTACTTATACCTAAACTGTGTAAATGAGTGTCAAGCACAGACTGCTGTAGTATGTGGGGTGAGTTGTAACAGTAATTAAAAATATGGACATCAGTTTAAATTTTAACATCAATTCGATTTGTTAATCAAATGTACTTGTTCAAAATCATTTTAATATCATTCCCTATCACCAAGACGGAACAAACAAAAAGGAAACATTTTATTTTAACAAATACATAAACATATATATATATCATATACATATTTTTTTTTTTTTTTTGCAAAAAAGTCCAAAAGGTTCCAGAAACATCTAAAGACACATCTTTTCTGTGAGCACTTGACTGAATCCTGTTGATGCACTAAATACTCAATTCTCTGCATTAATAAAAGATAGTTAAATAGACATTGTTACTGCATATTTTTATGGTAATGTTATGCAAAACTGCAAGAGTCTAAATGCTAGATAAATAAAGATCAGGCAGGTTAAAAGTAAAATTAACTTCTTTTAATAACTTGCACTGAGCAGAAAGCAAAAAAACACCTTCAAGTGAGAAAAATGAAATGTTAACAATGTTAAATATCTAACCCAGCTAGGTTATAAACTAAAAAGAAAACATTTCTTACTACTTTTTGCATTGTTATTTTCACTGAAACATCATGACTTAATAAATGAATACTTTACAATAAACATGGAGGGCATGAATGCACAGCAGCATAAGGTAAAACATATTGTATTATAACATACAGTAGCATCTTATATTTCACATGTTTAAGATCAACAAGTAAATCACTGTGTCCAAACCAAATTAATGAACAGTGTTATTACAGTATTATTATCCAATAATAAGTGACAAGCAAAATGGATGTTGATGCATTGCATCGGCTCACTGTTCTTTATGTGAGACTGTATTAAAATGAAAAATGAGAATTTTGCAATCATTTACTAACTATCATGTTAGTAACTATCATGTCCAAACCTGTATGCATTTCTTTCTTCCGTGGAACACAAAACAAGATATTCTGAAGAACACTTTCTGGTCCCATTGACTAGTATTTTTTTTTTTTTTTTTTTATTGTCATTGGCCCTGAAAATATTCCATTACCCACATTCTTCAAAATATCTTCTTTTGTGTCCACAGAAGAAAGAAAGTCATACAGGTTTTGGAATGACATGAGATTGAGTAAATGATGACTGAAACGAGGAATTTTCATTTTTGGGTAAACTATCACTTTAAAGTTTTCCAAACTAACACTAGGTGATTTTGAAAAAGACATCTTCCAACACCTCTGTGAATTTGTCCTTTATCTGCTGACGAAAGCCACTGTACCACTCCAGTAGTCTCATCCTCCTCTCTGTTTTTTCTTTCTGGCTCATCCCTCTCTCCCTCTCCAGGATGGCAGGCAGCTCCCGCCAGTCCTTGAGGAAGATGAAGGGTGCTCCTGCATCTTTAAGTAGTCGGAGCGGGGAGCGGTTACCAACTGCACAGGCCCCTGGAGTCAGGACATCCTCCACCACGGGCACAGAGCCATAGGCACAGGCTTCATAGATGCGGTAGCACTCGGTGTTCACTCCCACCGGACAAAGAGTGAGGTCACTTTGTGCTAATGCCATCTGGTACTGTCTAGAGGTGTCTGCCGTCTCTTGAGGAAGCCACCTGATGACACAAAATGCAAGTAGTATTAAAAAAAAAAACACTTGTGCAATCCAGCAATGTTTGGGCTATTATTTGTGAAGGATTTATAGGTAAAACAGAAACATTATGAGAATGTGTATTGGATAAACAACAAAAATATATACATTATACAACACTACCGTTTTTTTCTAAAAAAGTCTCCTATGGTCACCAAGGCTGCATTAATTTGATCAAAATACAGCAAAAACAGTAATATTGTGAAATAGTATTACTAATTAAAATAATTTTTTTTTTTATCTTAATATATTTTAAAAAGTAATTTATTCTTGTGATGGCAAAGCTGATTTTTTTTAGCACTCATTACTCCAGTCTTCAGTGTCACATGATCCTTCAGAAATCATTCTAATCTGCTGATTTGGTGCTCAAGAAACATTTATTATTATTATCAATGTTAAAAACAGTTCTGCTGCTTTATACATCTGTGGAAACCATGAAAGTTTTAGAATTAGGTTTTTTTTTTTTTTTAGGATTTTTGATGAATAGAAAGTTCAAAAGTACAACATTTATTTGAAACAGAATTTTCTTGTAGCATTATAAATGTCTTTACTGACACTTTTGATCCATTTAATGCATCCTTGCTGAATAAAAGTACTGAAGAAAAAAAACAGTTACCTGAATACAAGTTTTTTTTTCGTTTTTTTTTTTACCTAACGATGGAGTATTTTAATTCTTTAGTATTTTACAGCTTCATATATCCTGCAATTTTGATATGAATGCAATTTTTTGAAAATAATGGACAGTACTTCCAGAAATACGTACTTCTCTCTAACATGCATGAGGCAATCTTTCTCCATGCCGTTCTGCTGCAGGACGCCCATGAGAGTTTCCCTGGAGGAGTTTTTGTACATAGTCCCGAGAAAGTTGCAGAGATATGGTCTAGCAGTTTTCAGCATCTGACCGCTAAGTGTGACTACAGGGAAATGCCTGTATCTGCAAAGAAAGAAAAAGCACATTATAAACAATTAAATTAACTGATTTTATTCTCAATTATATAAAAATAATAATAAAACCAGATGCTAATAAAAATATTACAGAAATACCTCTTTCAAGTATAATAAAATATAAAACAAAAAATTAATATTTTTTAAAAATAGAAACTTACGTGGCAACACCCAGTGGCCACTGGAAGATGTCTTTATCATTGACCCAAGGACTGTCGTACACAAGAAAGAGCAGGTCCACAAACCCACCGTGCCTCTTAAGGTAAGGACTGATCCAGTCATTATTGCACTGCTCATTGCCCAAAAGAACCACAGCAACCCGAGAGACCGAGCGCATCTGCACCAGACCCTGGACGTGCTGCAGCCACTGGATGGAGTACGAGATTTTCTGCTGCTCACGGCCATTCAAAACCAACACCACACTGTCTGTGTCGAGAGAAACGTGCCCTTGGACCACTGCTGGCCCTGTGTAGAAACTGAGGACAGATTACGTTTAAAGAGAGATTACAAAATTGTGGGTTTTGGAAATGGAACATAATGCTTTACTTTTAGGAAAAATATCATGTAATTAATCTGTGATGTCCACATTTAAAGTAAAACTTCTATTTTGCAATTAAAGGATTTATAGGGAAAACAGACACATTATGAGAATGTGTATTGGTTAAAAATGTTTATACATATTTATTTACTGTTGTTACATACTACATTACATACTACTGTTTAAAAGTCAATGATTTTTTAAAAATAATTCAGAATGACTCAGAATGAAAATCTCTTGTGCTCAAGAAGGCTGCAATTATTTAAACAATATTATTTTTTTAATTATAAAAACAGCAATATTAAGTATTATTACAATTTAAAATACCTATTTTATATTAATATATTTTCAAGTGTATTTTTTTTATGCATTTTCAGCATTTCCATCTGAATTTTAAAACAGCATTTATTTGTAATAGAAACCATCCGTAACATTATAAAAGTCTTCACTTTTGATCAGTTTAATGCATCCTTGTTAAAAAAAGTGTCAGTTAAAAGCTTACCTGAAATTGATCTTCCCAGACTGAATCTCTCCTTCTCTCCATTGGCTGGATTTGTCTGGTGGGTTAAGAGGCCCTTCTAAAATATGTTCCCACAAATAAAGTCCTAGGCAAATGTGAACAAAGAACATTATTTCATTTATGTTCTCTACTAATGCAACGAGCAATGCAATGATCTCTGGAACCAATAAACATA